TTTTTTTTTACATATTTAAAACATTAAAGTTTACTTTATTTAAATTGTTATTTTAATAACAATAAATTATTTATTTTAAAATAGTAGGATAATGATTGCAAAAATTATCTTGCTTTCAAATTTTTACACTAAATCATAACTAATTAATTGTTTCTATTTTGAAAAATCATATTTAAGCAAATTTAAGTTATAATAAATTAATATTTTCATATTTTACTATTTCATTGATTATTAGAATATAAAAATATAACTGTCTTAATAGTATAATTTAAAATACTTATGAGTCACCTTAAGGGATTTAGGGCCGTTCATACATTTCAAGTTAGGTTAGTGTCATTTATGAGAGAATTCTGTCGGTAAACACAAAACAAATTCTGCTAGTTAGCGCTATTACATTTAACTGGAATTGGAAGAACAGCCTTTAATCAATAGTAAATACAACAAAAACAAATTATTCTATAATTTATACACATAGATTTGCACATGGAAAAAGCTGAGTGGCAGCTAACCTTCCTGCGAACCAAGATTTTTCCTTAATAAAATCATCATATTATACAGAATAACAAATATTAATTAAAAAAAAAATTATTTAACTATAATAGGTCTGCCCCTTCTCCCAAGAATGTCTACACATGACTATACTCATATACTAAATTAGTTAATTAATTTTAAAATATAAATAATATAATTTACCAGATATTTTATCATGATCACCATTAACATTGAAATATTTAAATCTGGAATAATAATATCTAATGCTTTATCTTCATTGCCTATATCATCTACATGAATATCTTCACATACTGTTAAATTTTTCTCATCTGAAATCATAAATAATTTTTTAATACTGAAAATAAAAATTTTAAATTTGATTTAATTTTTGTTTTTGAAAAATTCAAAACACCCATTTGTAAATCTGGATTTTAGAAAACTAGATTGTAAGAACAGTTATTTAAGTCATATAGTTCATTTTTTGAAATCTCATTACTTTGTTAAGTAAAGTTGATCCAATCCTAAAATATATTTTAATTAAAAAAAAATGTATAAATACAAAATATTATAGGTAGTTATTATTTAAATATTTTCATTCTTAAAAAATAAAAATAAAAATAATTATATTTAACAAGTAGAGCAAAGATTCAATACATAATATGTAATAAAAAATTAAAAAATATTTATTACAAATAATTTTATTTATCAGATCTTCTTGTTCCTGTATTAGTTAATCATTTTTAAATAAATAATTTAATTTACCAGTCATATCTTGATCACTATTAATATCTTTAACAGTTATTACACTAATTAAATCTGCATTAACTAAATCATGTCCTCTGTCTACATTGTCCATATCAACTACATGAATATCTTCGCATACTGTTAAATTTTGTTCATCTAAAATCACAAATAATTTTTTAATACTGAAAATAAAAAATTTTTAATTTGATAAACATGGAGAAAGGCAAAGATAGTGACCCTGCCCAAACCAGGCAAAGACTACAAGGACCCTAAAAGCTACAGACCTATATCTCTACTCTGCCATAAATTTAAACTGTATGAACGAATGATTATGAACCGTATAAAAGAACAAGTAGAAAGGAAACTTATCGTCGAACAAGCCGGTTTTAGGTAGGATAAATCCTGCACAAGACAGGTAATAAACTTATGTCAGCACATTGAGGATGGTTATGGGAACAAAAAAATTACAGGGGTGGTTCTTGTAGACTTACGGTGAATCACAATCTAATACTAAAAGAGATATATAAGTATATAATGACTGGCACCTAGTACAAATAATAACTTCTATGCTACGGAATCGATGCATTACTGCCACGCTAAACAATAAATGGAGTAGATGGAGAAATCAACGAAATAGCTTAATACTTAATATCGAAATTGTAATTACAAACGGTACTGGTTTTGTTGTCGTTCTCGATGCTGGCCATCATTACTCTAACGGAACGTATATTTATCTGGTTGCCAATTGACGACGGGAATCCGAGTATTTGGAAAAGCTTTCGAATTAGCTCACAACCGTTTCTGACACCGTCACGAACATTGTACTTCATCGATCAAATTGCACCAGAGTTCAAGATGACCGAGGAAAGAAGAGCGATCGCGAGCGACGGACCTTCGCGTTCGACGCCGCCATCACCGTTGACCGTGTCCGATGTCGCCAGTATGGACATCGAACGTCTTAGGGCTGACAAAGTTATGTGGGCCATGTACGAGAAAGGGTGGAGGGACACGTATGCCTCCGTGATTGCTGCGCTGGCCGCAGAGCCCCCTCCGCCGCCTGTTGATCTGCGCCCCGTGGTCGTCGGATCCGACCGTGGACAGGCGAGCACTGATTCTGCGGCCACCGTTAAAAGTCAACCGACCGTCGATTCACGCCCTACGGTTACCGGACCCGTCCGTAGCCAGGCACGCATCAACCGGAACGCGCGGCGCAGGAACGTTTCCGCTCGTCCGTCGAAGTCGCAAGAACAATCGATTGCCTCTACCACTCGAGTACGTTCGTTTTAGAATATTATTTTTTATTTTTTTTTTTTGCGTGTGTGTGTGTGCGCCCACTGTGATCTACATACCTGATACATATATATATGGTTCGGAAGAATATTTTTCGGTATTATAACTCATACAATTTTCTTTTTTTTTTTTTTATAACGCTATATATTCATTTGAAACATTATCAAAAGTATTAAAACAGTGCGACTTCTATTTTCATAATGAAATGTTTACTCGGATGTACTAAGTAACGCGAACGCGTATAATCATGTAGTTTTCTATTCAACAATCGTAACATATTTTTCACTGTTCGAAAAAGCGATATGAGTGATAAAAATCGTTTCCAAAATGTATTGTACATCTGATTAAAATCGTAATTTAACAGATATTATCCGACGACGATGTGACGACGCAGGAAAGGAACTGCCGCGATTGGGTGAACAGTTTGCAGAAATGCGAGGAACACGGACCTGAGGACATTGTACGCATTAATATAATAATATTATTCTTACATCCATAAGCGAAGTCGATTTCATTTCATTTGATTTTGGGTCTATTACATGAGCGTCTGTAATTTTCATAGTTTTTCAACACATTTCTAACGTTTTTCGATACGATAATGTATTGTGTAAATAATTTATACGTTCATCGTGTACGAATATGACGAAAAATATGTACAAAAAAAAAATATACAGTATATGTATATATAAAAAAAAAAAATACATTTTGTTTTTCAATTTTGAATTAGATTTGTCCCAATTCCGACGTTGACTCGTTCATCTCCATGACCAGCGAAGAAAAAGAAGACGCTTTGTGGCAACCGTTGTCGGTAAATATTATACTAAACATTTCTATAGTACAGTGGAATAATATGATATTACTCGAATTATATTAGCATTGTTCTTTAAATGTCGATTTATCCAAAAAGTATATACGGCTAAATACTTACCGATAACTTGCGGAATTTTCTCCGTGTCTGGATTTATTAATTTCTTTTATTTTCTACTATAAGAATCTTTGAAAAAATGCATTAATTTTTTTTCTTTTATAGGCACTATGTTTCCAGAATTTCACGACTGCGGATATTATCGAGTACAATTCAGCTTGGACTAACATTCCTGTTAGAACATGTTGTGATCATTGCGTACTCAAATTTTGATAAACCACAGCTCCATAGGCGCTAAAGACCGGATTCCCGTGCAATTGCATCTTTTTATGACGTGTTCTAAATTCTATAGAAATAAGCTACAAATCCAAATCAAGAAATTTAGATTAATTTAAAGAAAGTTTTATGTTGCACAAAATTGCATGTTTTTGGGTTTTTGCACAAAATTGCACGTTTCGGGTTTTTTTTTTATAAAAATTTACTTTTGTACAAATATATTTGTATTATTTTTATCGTTGCTATTTTGTGTTGTTATCTATATGAAGTATTGTATTTTTATATCTAATAATATAATTATAAATAATATATATATATATATATATCGATATAATACGACGTAATTTAGATTACGACTGTACTACGAAACTCGATAGATTATCGATTACATGTAGGTACACATACAGTACTACAGTCTATCCGTAGCAGCCGTAATTATATTCACGTTTTATTCAACAATTTTATTGTTGATACTTATTACTTATTATTATTTAATTTAAAATTCCGAAAATTGGTAGTAGTCATTGTTCTAAAATAAAGTGTTGGATCGAAAAATATCCAGAATTGAAAACAGAAGGCAAAATTATATTTTGCACGTCGTGCAGTAAGGCTATTGGTTGTGAACGTAAATCACAAATCGACGCATACTGTAATTCAAGTACGTACCTATGTTAACACTAATTTTCTGTTGTAGTTAATTATTAACAATTTATTTATTTATTTTTTGTTCTTATTAGCTGTACACCAACAAATGACTACTACTAAAAAGAATAATCGTAATCCGGTGCAATTGTTCATATCTGAAACCACCTCAGCAATGGCTAGTCGAAACGAATTTTTAACAGATATGTGTTTTGCCTTGGTAGCCACAAATATTCCTTTCAATAAACTTCAGTCGACACCATTTAAGAATTTTTTACAAAAATATGTTAGTCAGAATATTCCAGATGAAAGTACGTTACGAAAAAATTACTTAAAATTATGTTTTGAATCTATTCTTACGAAAATACGAGAAAAATTAACTAACGAATTAATTTATATTATGGTGAACGAAACGACTAATTCTAGAGGGCTGTATGTTTGTAGCTTAATTATTCTGATACTTCATCCGGAAATAATGCCTACTTCATTTCTGATTTCTTACAAAGAATTTAAAAAAACTAACTATGAAACAATTTCTCGATTTGTGAATGATAATTTAACGGAATTTTTTGAAGACACGTTATTTCAAGATAAAATTCTGTTTTTTATCAGCGATGCCGCACCATATATGATAAAAGCTGGAGGAGCATTACAAATATTTTATTCTAATATTATTCATATACCTTGTGTTGCCTATGGCTTAAACCGTGTGGCCGAAAAAGTTAGAGACATTTTCCCGGGTATAAATAAACTAGTAAGTAATGGAAAAAATTTTTTTTTAAAAGCTCCTCACCGTATTACTGCTTATAAAAATTTTATGGACTGTCACTTTTCGCCAGAACCTATAATAACAAGGTGGGGAACATGGTTAGAAGCTGCTTTGTTTTACTCTGAAAATAATAATCTAATATAGAAGATGACGCCCAATCTGTCAAAAAAGTAAAATCCATTTTGAGTACTACATCTATTATATCTGATTTATCATTTATCCGAACACATTTGTCCCAGTTGCCAAATTTAATTATAAAACTTGAAAAACAAAATTTTACTTTAAATGATCAAATAGGTGTAGTTGAAATAGTAATATTGAGAATGAAAAGGGACAAATACTCTATGAAAAATTAAAATCAGTATTTGATAAAAATCCCGGATACTATATTTTAAAACTATACAAAAATTCAATAAATGGAAATGACGTAAATTTAAAATAAGATCTTGCTATTATAAGCTGTTACAAACAATGTCCGATAACAAGTGCCGACGTAGAACGTGTGTTTTCACAGTTAAAACACATATTAAGTGATAGAAGACATAATTTTACCGAAAAAAACTTAGAAATGTACATGATTATAAATTTTAATCAAATATTGTAAAATCAGTTATATATAGTTATATATATTGTCAGTTAACAATTATTTTAATTAAATTAATTACATTTTTTTTTTTAATTTTATATTTGAGTATAACAGTTAATGTCAACTTAGAAATAATAATATTATAAAAAGGAATAGTATTAAAAATAAAATTTGAAGTACCTGTAATGAAAATTTTGTTTTTGCACGATTTTGCACATTTTAACATTTTAATTGCACGTTTTTTAGGTGTTAGCTGCACAAAAATCCGGTTTTTAATAGGCGCAAATCGCAGGGGTGCTAAGGGTGCTTAGCACCCTGAATTTTGATGCTAGCACCCAGAATCCCGTGATTATAAGTTATAGTACTATTACCATCATATTTCTATAATAATTACATTTATTAAAAATTCAAAAACAGTTTTATATTTATTTAATTATTTATAATATAATATGTTGAGTTTACGTCTGGATATATTAAACTGCAATGCTATATAAAATATATTATATAATATCATAATAATTGTTGTGAAATTATTACGCACAACGATTGTGTACACAACTGCACTACTATAATAGTACACGCCGATACCGTTCCGTCGCGGACAGCCGGACGGCCGTTTAGCAGTCGAAATAGCCCAATCCAACTATTAAATATAATATTATAATATAATTATTTTCATAATATTCTGAGTTTATATTTTTACATTTTGAAAATAATCCTTATTACATTACAGGTACTTAGTTGTGTTATTATGATGTACGTTTTCAATTTTTCTTGGGTTTAGGTAGGTAGTGCACGTGCACTTGTGCACATACACACGAGCCGCCACTGATCAATATGTGCATTTATAATTATTGGAGGAAAATGGAATAGAGTTTTATTCGGAGGCAAATAGAAATGGACACAAATAGACAGTGGATGAAAACAGCATCGGCCAATGAAACGAACATATTATGTACGGTATAGCAGTATATATATCCCTATTTTGACTAATAATAAATGGACATTACGAGGAGTGACCGAACGTAGGATATCCAGAGAGTTGCGATAATATGTTATCAAAATTCAATAAGTTAATATGTATAATAGTTTTCAAATAAGTTATTATAGATGGGATGACATATGTTCCATTGTGCAACAAGTGGAAGGATTTATTGGGTGTAACAATAAAATATAAAAATAATAATAGATTTTAAATTGTAATATGATTTATATTTTATTACTAAAAATAATTATTTGATGATTATAGAAAGCACACTTTAGGTTATGAATAAAAAAAAAATAAAAATATACTTAAAAAAAAGTATCAAATATAATAATTAACTAATTTGTTTATGTTAATGAACTTAATAGTTATTATATAATACATTGTGTATAATATTGTTATAATATTGTACATATTGAATCATCAAATAAAACTCGAAAAAACACAGAGGGATCTGCCAAATGAGTACATTAAATAACATTAGCGTTATAATTTTAAATAGACGATTATTATAGATTATTATTTTAATTACTTCAACAAAATAAACGCATCTACTTGATCACACAAAATTTTAATCTAATAGGTATACATTGCTTTTTGGTTCATGTGTAATTATAGAATCGAACATGAAATTTAAATATAAAAAAACCAACTAAGTCCCTGAATTGCAGAGCGCCGTCTTAAAACGTTAAAACTATCAACTAGGTATTTCAATTATAAAATAAAATGTTTACATTAAAATTAAAAATCATAAAATTATTTTTCAAAATATTTGAGTACTAGTATTTATCCAAGGAATATAAAAAAATCCTTAATTCTATGCCAATATATCGTTATATATATAAAAAAAAAAAAAACATTTTCTTTTACTAAAATTATTATTCAATAATTTTATCCAAATTTATTTGATGTAAAAATATAAACGATTATCGATTGTAATCAGTCATTGACAATTAATTTGCTAAACTTTACGTAGTAGTCATGCAATCTCAGTTAGAGAAAATAATATACCGCCTTTCTGTATATAATCGATTTCCACGGTTACGTGTTTTATTATAAACGGATACGACGTTTCAGAAAATTTGTCGATAAAGTTCATAATGCTGTTGGTGACTGTAAAAGAACGACGGACGAGATGATTAAACAATTAAAGGATAGATTCATAATTTTGCCATGTTCCCATAAAGTATTAATTGATTTAAAGGAGATGACAACGGATTGTTCTGAATCGCATCGACGGACTGGGAATCCGGTTGCCTCCAACGTGATTATACCGATTACTGTGAAAAGTAATTTGGCACATAGTATTTGATTTAAACGGCGTGTATGGTCCCTGCCGGTTAGTAAGTAGATATTAATTGTAATGACGTTCATCTCCGTCCGGAGAGTAGACGTTTCCTCGGTAGAACCGAAAAATTAGCACCTAGTTAAACGGTAGACTTGTAGTCACGAGTTGTTTTTTCGGTTAATGTAAACATATAAAATACTAAGGACCTCAGATATGTGGGTAGGTTATTAATTAATAGAAACTAGCAGTTTTTTTTTTTTTATTTTTATTTTTTTTTTTTTATTTAAGAGGCGCATAAAATATTTGCCTCAGCGATTATAATAACAATACAATATGACTTAAAATAATGTTAAATTTCACAGTTAATATATAAAAACATAACAAGATAAGAGAAATAAACATAATTATTAAGATGAAAATAAAAATATCGAAGATAGTTAATTATAATATAGATAAGCATTACAATAGAAAGTTTCTTATTTTAATATTTAGAGATGTGGTTGTTAGCTATTCGGCTAACAGGTAAACATAAAATACAAATATAAAAATTGCAGTTAATTACAATTATAATAATAACTTAGGAATAATATTGTCGCATGAAATCGATAATTAAGTAATTAGATAAGAATATGAAATTAAATGGTACACAATTTGATGTACTTACAATGATATATGGAATTACAATTGACCTTTATTTAATAATGACGTAAGGAGTGACAGGAAGGGTTTTAAAATCGCAGTGAGTTCGGTAAAGAAAAAGTTAAATAAAGTTTCTATATTAGGAGATAAGTGGGAGTTTTTATAATTGGCGGAAATAGCTTCGGCATATGATGGTTTAGTAGTATTGGAATTTAAGGTGGATTTAGGAGAGTGAATATGAGATTTGGGAGTAGAAATTAAGTGTTCACGATGAGGTGGTCTATTTTTAAGTTTTTTATAAACAGTACAGCCTTTGTAATTTGCTGGGTGACTACCTTGGCATAAAGCACATCTGGCCGGAGATTCTGATGACATAGTGCATTCGTCAGATCTATGTTCTTCACCACATCTGATGCATCGTGGAACGTGGTTGCCGTAACCCTGAGTGTGCCCGTAAGCTAGACAGCGGTGGCATTGAGTTGGGCCTTTACGTGAATGGGGTTTTTTGACAACAATTTTTGTGTGCGGAAGATAATCGATTTTGTATAAATTTTGTGGCTTTTTTGAGGTCGACGAAAAAGAGAGGTAGAGATGATTTATCGGAAGAGCGCTTAATGTTATGAACGTGAGTAACCTGGTGTCCCAATTCCGAAAGAGCGGTAATTATATCTTCAGTAGTGGTAGAAGGGTGGAGATTACGAATCACCACACGTAATGGGCGCTTATCATATGACTGGTATGAATGAAAACTGATATTGGTCTCAACTAGATATTTAATGAGTAGTCTGTGATGCTCATAGAAATGAGTATGGATGATCAGGTAAGAAGGAGTGGTTTTACAGATAAACTCAGTTGTATTGATAATTTTCATCAAGATTGATGTGAAACTGGAAAAATTACTCACGCCCTTAATATAAACTGCAGGTGGTTTTGGTGGAATTTTTTGATCATGAGATTGAGTTTTGTTTGGCTGTGTGTTTTCGTTTGAGTCGTTTAGTGTGGTAAGAACTGAGTACCGGTTAGGAGTTATAAATATTTTTGATTTATTATCCACAGGCTTGGGTGAAGGCGAAGAAGACGATACATTTCTTTTTGTTTGTGCCACGACTATTAGTCGATTGGGCTGCCATATTACGTAAACGTAAAGACAGAATATAATAATATAATATTAGCGCATGAAAAATAGATAACGGAGCGAACGTAATGACCGTGCGTTCATGATGAACGTTATCGCCGGACTGAAACTAGCAGTTAAACAGTGTATTTATGTATACAAATGTAGTGGTAAACCGTTATTGAACATGAAATACTTCACACAAAAACAATAAAAAAAACACCACAATAGCATAACTGTTAATAGTATTTTATACTATATTATTCAATATCAAATAAGTTCTATGAAAAAATTAATTTGAATGTTACATTTTATGATCAACAGATATTTAGCCTTTAATTCTTAATACAAGTAAATTACTAGAACGATCAAAAAATTCCGGACTACTCGTACTAGATACCAGTAACGGGAAGTGAACGATCTCCGTATAGATTTGGAGAGCTTCCAAGGTAGGGCGTTGTAAATCAAATTTAAATTGAAATCATTGTAACCTTTATGGTTTGGATTTGAGTCAGAGTTTGTGCAACACCCGATCGAGAATATGATTGTATCGCTGGAAATGAGTGGGCTAACACGCGAGACGAGACGTTAATGTTTGTGATGATTTTTTTGATGGAGCAAGAGGAAAGACAACCTAGTATGAGTTTGCGAGCTCTGAGTTCTAGTTCTTGTTTTCTGAAGTGTGAGGTTCTTTTCGTTGGGCTAGGGGATAGAGCCACACACGATTTAAATGACGTGGCAAGAGTACGAACACTTTACCCTTATACGTCCCGTGTGGTGGCTTGCAATGCGACATTTACGCAGGACATTCGTGTTTTCAGATCTACATTCGTCGGTAACCAAAAATCTTTGAGGAGACAATCAATTTGTATTTGGAGCTGCATAGTAACTGAGGATTTGGCAGTCGAATTGCAAGGTTTGTGATACTAAAGAGTTACAATCGTCGGTAATCACTCCTCTAGAGTAGCAGCTGGTTGCTTAGTTGGAGCCGCACGATAGCATTTCGTATGTTTGATGAATTATGGTCTTATCTGTAAGTGTGAGGTTTTTGGAGAGGATGGAAGTAGTGTGGAACTATACGTAGTTCTGTAGTGAGAGTTCGAGACATGAGTTTTTTCGGCCGGAGCATCATCTTGACTAACTTAGTAATCACCGTCGCCAACCTATTACCTAGATTCAGAAACCGGAGTAAATTTTTTCAAATAATATTTGACAAATGTCCCCGTCATTTATATTATTACTCATACTCAATAATATTAAAGGGAGTAAAAAAAAAAAAAAAACAAACTATAGTACGTATACTAGTATTTCAATAGGGTGGTTATTATGTCCACAACGCAATACGACCCCGAACAATATATAATATTTTCCGAACAATGTTCGATTTCGCTCTAAGGTCCGCACGTCGTAGTTAACAATTCGTGATTGTTTATCATCTAAAACCTTCGCGCGGTCGTATACCTGTATGTGCACCATGGTGATTGTTTTCTTTAAAACATTTAACTCGTTAACCGGGATAAAATAATTTACATTTTATAATTTATATTATAATAAGTATGCACGTTCAACATAATAATCTTACATTACAATGGTCATTTGGTAAAAATAATAATAAAACTATTATACGTTAGTGATTGTTTATTTTGTACGTATAAATGCATGCGTAATATGCGCGCTTGCGGTTCACGATCGTGGCACGAGGGTTAATTAGCGCTCAGTTTTGTTTTTAAAAAACGGTCTTCGTCAACCAGCTTATATAATTATTAATAAATGTGACTGGGACGACAAGACTCGTGTTTACTTTTCCATATTGACAAAGGTCGTAGTAGTTCTCATAATTTATTGTCTTCCTGTCCACGTAGACTTAACTAGAAATTTTCTCGGAGCATTAATTGCCATGTATATCATACACAATAAAACGTATGCTATCGTTATGTGTGTTCACCGCAAATGCAACGTCGGTAAATTTGAGCGTAAGTGCGTGGAAATCAACATGTACGTGCGCGTATTATACCAACAACATACATCCTGTTCGGAACAAATACCGCCGCACAAAACTTTTAAATTGGACACTATTTCGTCATGCAAAATCGAAACATTTTTTCCCGCTCATCACTGTACGTGGATACGAGCTGCACAAACATACATCCGTGTACGTATCTCTAGGTTACCATCCAGTCGTGTTTTAGATGTCGCGGCTATTGTGAACGTTTTTCCTCAAATCTCGGTAAATAGTTGAAATTCGATCGGTTAGTATTGTTATCATTGATATAGCGATTTCTTCCGTGTTCAATTAAAATTTAAACATAAAATGTCCATAAATACTAATACTTACGTTCCATTGACTGGAATATTGTCACGGTAAATACAACACACACACACACACACACACTCACAAATTAAATTAAATTAAAAAGAAATAATAAAAATCAAATCAATGTAATAAAATTAATAATATATTATTTTATTATTATTATAATGATAATAATAAAGCAATAGAACAATGTAAATGAAAACAAATGTTAAATTACAGAATGTAACGAAATAGAAAAAGTTACAAGTGCCACGAAGTCGGCTAAAAGCAGACAAGCTGACCGATAGCTCGTGGCAGTTGGCACACTGCGAACGCTTCGTGATCGCCGTTTCCCAGAAATGGTTCTTTTAATCAATCGATCGTTCGGATTGATAATCAAACGTACCATGGTACAGTGACAAAGGGATGTGACGGGTGGGATCATGGTATCTGTGAACTTAATCGTGTCAATGTATATCATCATGCAGTGGTTCTCAACCGGGGTGACATGTCATCCAAAGGTGGGGGTGACACGAAATCTCCACGGGAGAATGAAAAGAAAAAATAAGAAAATTATTAATTTTAATAAAATCATATTATTTTATTTATTAAATTGTCATGTAAATAGTATACCTTTAAGTTTGTATCTTTATATTATTTATATTTACTCTTTGAATCCAAGAAACACGTGCAGTATTTTGATTTGCGAAATTGTTGCCTTATCGATTATTTTATCGACTTAACCAGGATCGTTAGTCAGTTATTCTGCAGTCGCTATATAGTACTATAGCTCTAAAACTCTAGAAAATAATATGTGACTAGATTTTTCCATCATTAACTTTCGATTTGTTGAAGTTGATTTCCATAACTTTGTAAAAACCACCAGGATCAAATTTCTCATTAGTTTTTTTTCACAAATCACTATTATTATATTATTTTTATTTGAAAATTTAAATTTTAAAGTGTCAATTCTAAAATTATATAGTTAAAATTGTTTATTATTTTGATGTTAGGGCAACGTGGTGCTTGATTCTAGTGGCTAAAGGCGACATGAATGAAAAAAGGATGAGAATCACTGTTATAATGTGTTGTACACAATTTATAGTACCTATATAGAACAAATTATATGTATACACTATATTAAAAGGTACACTATATTAAAAGGTACACAATATCTGTAACTATTGTCATTATTAATAAAAAATTAATCTCTTGGATCGTGTTTTACATTTAATTAATGAAGTCGGATTTCTTTTTTAAAAAAAATGATAAGAATTGTTCTATTGCGTGACATTTCTATTTGTATATAATGTATTGCCAGTTTCGTTTCGTGTTTTACGAAACCAAAAAATTTTAATTACCTATAAAACATGCATGTTAGTCCACGTTTAGAATTTAAACATTTGATGAATACCAGAACTTATTAAATTTATTACATTTTTGTAATTTTCTTAAGAAAACCGCCACAAGCCAGTCACTAACAGTCCTACTCGGGTAATTTTTTATTTTACTTCGAAATAATTTAAGTACAGCTTTGTACTATAGGAATAAATTAAATTTTTTTTTCAATTTAAATTGAAAACTATTATTATAAAAATAATATTAATAAAATAATTCTTGTTTATAAATACCATTACGACAATAAATTCATATTATAATAGAATAGTGTTGTATAATTATTTAGGTGTATTTTATGAGCTATTAAAAATTAACATAATTGCAGAATATATTATTAATGTTATAATATTATAATATTACATTGCTATTTTAATGTCAGCTTATTGAAATATATGTTGGTGCGAACTACTAATTTAGATAAAATATATTTATTGTGATGTTAAAAACAAGTAAGGATAAAATCGTTTTTATTGAACATAAATTACGTTTTTAAATAATTGTACTTATATATATGGATTCGGCTATAAATGCATTTTCAAACCACGCACAAGTCGACTGCGGAACTTCCAAAAGTCCTAAAATATTCAAAAGTATTTATGATTTTTTTTTAATTTCTATTGTAATGTTTTTATTTTATACATTATAATATTACTTTGAAGTCCATGTCCTCGAACCCTCTATTACGCGCTATTTCTCTGACTTCGGACGCGATGTTTTGCTGAGACGTACCAGTAACATCTATGTACTGGCATTCGCAGGATGCAAAATGACAAGAGATTGCTTTTCTCGTTTCCTTTGTTTAACATAAAATCAAAATTCACCAACGCATATGATTGTTTATTAAAAGAAAAAAAAATTATATTTTGAGAGTATATCATATCTTTTCAGTTAATTTGAAAAATTTATTTTCAAATATACGAATAAAACTACATTTCAAGGATTTAAATTGTACAAGTAAAAGTACCTTTATATTGAAGAATTAGGCTAGTCGGTGAAATGCAATTTTCAGGTGCGCAATAGTTGCAAGACAATTTGATCATAACCGAGCTCACTATAGAAGTAAACTATTCTGTCACACTATGATCACTATGATACAAAGGATATTATCGTGTAATCAAATGATTAATAACAAAACATTAACTAATTAGTTGGTCAAACTGATTGGTTGCACGTGAGCTTATCGTTATTTAATGCTGTGAAAGTCACTAATGCGATTAAACTGTTGCGCAACTGAAAATTGCATGTCAGTGACTAGCCTTAAAATACACAAATAATGGAGGTAACTGATTGATACAATTATAATAATAATTTTTTTTTTCCATTATTTATAAACATTTCAGCGTACACAATGTTTTTGTTATTAATATGAACATAATTATTTATTAAATATACAATCATACACACATTTGACATATTCGGTCCTGATCCATGTATTAATAACGAATGAAAGAGTACCGTATCACCGGGTTCCATATTCAAATACTCTTTTTGATATTGATCGTATCCTTCAATCCCATGAAATCCTTTGTTCACGCCTCCCTTTTACGTGCAAAAGTATACGTGAAATTATGGCTATATTTTGTGGTTGTTAGGTTAATCTTACTTTCCATTTTGGATATTCGTGTGGAAGAAGTTTACCAGGGTTAACGTGAGAACCCGGTAACACAAATAGACACCCATTGGCCCTGGTGACCGTTTGCATGGCTGTCCACGCAGCCACAATTCTGTCAGCTGGACGAAAGGCAAAGTAATGTAAATCCTGTGGTTAAAAGAAAAGACAAAAAATGAATGACAAGGAAAATTATCAAATAATACGTTGAGCGAAGAGAACAAGACAGGCAACAGATGTATTATATATACATAATATCATATCGTGTGTCTATGGCAACAGTCTGTGTTGCTCATGCAGTTTTCGGAAGGCGATGATCAATCGGATTCTAATGCAAGATGGATTATGACCAAGGCTGTGAGTGTACTAAAAGAACACAATATATGCACGCAAGAATTGTGCACTAAAAGCCTTGCCACACCATGCGTTTTGGCGGGTCAAGTTTGGCCAGACGTTTTTCGACCGGATGACCCATAGATGCCACATCTATGCGTTTTTCGTTTAAAAAACGTTCCTTCTATTTAATTCATAAGTTAAACTGTTTCAATAACACAATATACATGACAACAAAAGCTTCTCTATCATCGTTTTAATATTATACTTACTTAATAAGTTCAGTACAATATAAAATATTTTATTTGGAATACAACAGTGTGAGATTTTGTGCGTATTTACATAGTATAATTGTTATTAATTAAAAAAAATTTAAAAGTATTATATTTAAAAAGTTGATTACTATCTACACAAGTAAGAATATTTATATAATTTATTAATTTAGGTAAATTTGTATCAATTAATTTATGAGTTAATACTTTGTTAGAATGAATCGTAAAAAAGTTAAAGCCATTGCTGTTTTATGGATACTTTTTTATTCAAAGCTAAGCATATTAGAATATTTTGTCAACAAACAGCCCAAAATCCAAAAATGAATAACAAATTATTTTTATATTGTATTTAATAAATAATACTTATGAACATACTTATAATACCATTGTATCTATTTTAGTTACTTTATAACATTTATATACATTTATTTACGAGTGTAATAACGATTTTTATCATAAAATGTTCAAATTATACCATATTTCATTGCATAACTCGAAGTTTTGATTTACACTTGATAAACTCTAGTTAGGCATCTCGAATAATACTCGAAGTGAATTTTTAACCCCCCTTCAACTTCGAGTTATTGCGACTCGACTGTATATATTTACATGTGTGTGTGTGTGTGTGTTATGACTTATGAAACATGAAAAGTTTCTTTTTTTCTCCAAAAATATGAAATATTTTATAATAATTTTACCTTAGTTGGTAAATTGGCGGAAATCATTATTTTAATTTTGTCGGAAACTGTACATATCCTGCCGCTGCAGGTCGATATTAGTCATGCTTATGATATAAATCCACATGAAATGGTATGAAATATAATAGCCGTGTGTGTCTATTTTGTACTATAAATGAATCCGTGTTTAGGCCTTTACGTTAAATCAATAGTGTAGCCGAGGGTAACGAGACTTAGGTCGTCCTATTTATTTTTACGTTCATGAAAATCATTAGTATAATTATAATTATTCAATGGGTATTATACACGTGAAATAATGTACCGGAAAATTAAAAAAAAATATGATCTAATCTAATTATCTTTGAAAACCAATCTAGAACACTATACTCATTTTACATACTATACTGGTGTTTGGGTGCAAAATACAATAAGCACTAATTATAATATTTTGATACAGTATGTTGGTTTTGAATATCAGTGTTAGGAAAAAACTTTGTTCGTGAACGCACGTTCACGCGTTTACGTTCATATTTTGTGAACGACACGCGAACACCACTTGCTTTTTTCAAATAGAACGTGTAAGAAGTTTATATTTTTAATGAATCTGAATGATTTTAGGGTGTTCAATTTTATTTACCATTTAAAAATATATATATAAATAATGAATATTTATTATAATAATATACATATTACGTATAAGTATAAGTTTTAAACATAAATTAAAATATACCTAGTACATTTTGTAAAGCTCCCATTTTTACAGAATGCAGGTTGATGATGTTTCATAAATATAAAATAAAAAAAAAAGTAAACGAACACGTTCACATTAAAAAAAAAAAAATGAACATGTGCGTAAACTCGTTCCTTTTTTATTCAATGAACGTGAACACGAACGAGTTCGATTTGTAAGTGAACAATCCGAACACTGTAGATTATTAAAACGAAGAAAACTAATAACGAATAAATGTGAATTTGATTTCTATCTATAATCACTGTTCCTCTACGCTTAAAAAGTCCTTTCTACGCCTTACAGCATTCAGTCGGATATCATTGCAGTGATTGATAAACGTATCTACGATTATTTTCCACATGAATTCTCATTGAGTGTGTATTGTTCAGTGTTGTAATGATGTGCATCATTCAATTGTATTCATAAAAGACGGCACAAATATTTTATAATAATGTATACTATTCATATGTACATGATTTTTAAACCATTTAAAATAAATAAATAACGGTATTTTTGATACCCACGCGAACAACACGGGTCGAACAATAAATACTATTGACATTTTAATATCCAAAGGACCGGTTCAAGGTCCATGCCGCTACATGTCCCTATATAACAGGGACATACAACCCTTCCCAGCGCTCTTGATCTTAGGTCGTCAGTGCATGCGAACCGATCGCAAGATCAATGATGCAACTTTTTTTGGTTGTCTGTGCATGCGCACCGTTCATACAATAACGAGAGAGTTTATACGTGCGATTTATTTTGACTTGTGATTTTAATCTGTTGGACTTGTGTTCTTCGTATAAGTGTTGAAGAGTATCCGGTTCTAGTGCAATTAAATTCTGCATTTGTTCTTTTTTCAACCTCGCATCGATATCTGAAGGTCTACGGTAAAACAAGTAAGTACTACTTTATTTAGCTTAGCAGAATATAATTGCGTTGATCGGCTTTCGAACCTTCACAACCTTGAAAGTCCTCCCTTAAACAAAGAGGAAGGTAACAACCCTTTAATACATTCATATCTCACTACCATTTATGTATACCACTTGCCCCCCTTTATTTTATCTTTGTATTTTTGGATTATTACAGTGTACGGAATACTACGATGAATGTAGGTATGAATGTGGGCTGATGTCTTATTCTACGAAGCGCTTTGTACCCAGCGGGTACTCCTATACCGATTTTCTATTATATCCTCTACTCTCATTCAGGGTGTAATGAAATAGCGTATAGTTACAGATATGTATGGGCCTTGAATGGAAACAAAAGCCGCAATAAAATGTTTAGTTTTGCATGATAGAAGAGGGATGAATGATACATCAGTAGCTTATTCGACTGAAAGTTGGAATATTATTATGTGTAGGTACGGATCGACTAAATAATGTAATTAATTAAAAATGGTTATGTGAAAATCAGGATAGGGACATTTTTCATTCTGTATATCGTATTATTTACTTTATTTTCAAATTATTATTCATCTTTTTTTTTTTTTATTTATTGAATTTTTTTATTGAAACAGTCAAAGTTTTAAAAACAACACCAATACTATCCTTAATATTTTATTATACTGAGTAAGTTCAAAATTGTTTTTTCAATAGATATAAACGCATTACTTTTTTCAAATTGATTGTATCTAAAATTGAATACAAATTTTGTACAGTTGAAAAGTAGTTGTATCAAGTTTAACATCAATAATGAATCATATAATTTTTGAACAAAAATTAATTGTGAAAAAATAATACCCAGTGCTATACAGTTAGGTTGAAAATGAAAACAATCACGAAATCTATTAAAACTTTGTGTGCATTTTTCTCGTTAGACAATATTTGGTATTAAAATCACTTTCGATATAGGATATACAAAGATCATTTAATTTATAGTAGTTATACAGCTTATAAAATATTTATTGAACTTCAAAGCAGTGGTATTTTAGGATTTTTTCTATACTCACTATTATTCTAGTAGTAGCATTAAATTTACATGTTTTTAACTATGACAAAATTTTAAATAAAATATATTAGGATATTTCCATCATATTTTTTTAAACTGTCAAGGATTTATAAAGTAATATTATGATTGATAAATATTTACAGAAGAGAAAAATAAATATAGAAGGATGATTTGAATATCCCCCTCTCCCTATAAATATGACATTAATAAAGAGTAAATATGATAGGTGATTCGATCAATTAAAAAAATTGTTTTTAATTTGATCTCTCATTGTTTCAAAAACTATTTATTCATTCGCGTAGCTTCCCCATTTGGGTATTTTATAAAATAAATGCATGTAGTATTTGTTTTGTATGTAAATTACGTTTGGTTACACAATTTTAAACACTGAATTAAGTATTAGAAATTTATACAATTTTAAATTTTCGTTAATTTTTAAATATTTGTTTTAGAACATTTTTATTACATGTTTCAGGTCTAACATGAAAAATTAAAAGTATATTCAATGCTGTGTAAAGTTTTTATTTTAAATATTTAAATTCCGATCATATACAAATATTGTTTCACTTGTTACAATTGTTAAATGCTGTGTGGGATAGAACATGCGAAAAGCAAACTAGTTCACGAGTAACGAAAGAAATTCAATAACTAGTCTGATGAGAAGTTATCGAACATTTTCATTCGTAACTCAATTTTAACTGTTCAACTAGTTAGGTCAAGTTTTTGAAAATATATCAGATCATCCAGTGTAACTGTGCAGTATATTTTTGTATGTTTAACACCCACGTGCGTATCAATAATAGTGAAAATAATGTAACTATTTCTTATAATCTTACTTGGTGCATCGGATGTCTCGAAGTCATCGATCCCGTGTCTGGAGGTTTGTTTATTAACATCGAATGCATAGCCATTATATTGTTACCAGTAACACACTGCACATAATCGAGCAACTAAAATGACACAATAATGTATTTTTTATTCTTTGATATTAAACCAGAATATTATTAAGTACAGAAAGATATCCTTATTGAATTATGACGATTTCGGGATTCTATCAAAAATATTTTGAAAATACAAGAATTTTTAAGTTTTTTTTGGGTATTTGAGTGTCTTGAAAGTATAAGTTTTGGTTTTACATATTTCTTTTATTTTATCTAAGAAATTGTTCTTTGATTGTTTATTTATTTAAAAATATCTTTCTAACGATTTGCTTTGCATATATAAATAATACAATTTAAAGGTTAAAATCAGAATATATTTAAAACAGTCGTCAACTTATAAATTGAATAATTTATATTGTTTTAAACGGGTAACATAAATTAATTATATAAATATTCGAATATTTTTTATTACATTTTTTTTAGTGATCTGTCCTTAATAAATATATTGTTTTATTTATTATTTAGACTTAAGTCTTTTTATCAAGAAATTTTTTGTATGACAATAATATTGATTCATCATTTTTAATACTTAATGAATAAAAAATATGCTATGAACTTTAATAAACTCTATTTGTGTTGACTGGGTAAAATAGATTATTTACGATAATAACTTTTAAATTTTAAGCTAGCTTTGGGATTATCAATAAGCTGTTTGAAAATGTATTATTTTTATATTGTTTCAAAAATGAATACATTAATTCATTAATTTTAATTGATTTCATAAAAATTCCTCCTAAAATATATTATGCACAATAATCATTTAAAATAATATTATTAATATAAAAGTAATGAATAGTTATAATACATGCAACCATTGAAATATATCAGGTATATTAGTTGTGGCAATTTTTAGCTTAGTACCTGGTACTTATATTTAATTTTAAATGATATGCATGAAATATTGTTAAGACATTCCAGAGGAATATTTCTTATACCCCAAGGCTATTTAATCGTCGGTAAAATGTTTTTGTGCTTATATTATGCCTTTAACATACTTATTTTTTTTTATCTGGTACAAACTGTAAATCTATAATTCTTTTTTTTATTAATACATTTGTATTATATTCATTGTATTTTACCACTGTGTGTATAAAAAATCCTTATATTAGTTTTTGTTTTTGTTATTATTAGGAGAGTATTTATGTTCTTATATCCATTAAAACAGTACAGAAAATAAGTTAAGATTATAGGACTTAACAACATTATTTTTTGATGTAAAAGAGAAAAAAAACTTTTTATCGGTATAAATAGTCTTTTTTTATTAAAAATATATACTCGTATGATCCAAACGAAATTTGTTTTAGGTTTGAAGATAACAAGCTATTAAAACGTCTTCATTTATAGCTCTTCAGATAAAAAAATGTTTTTCGTAAGTTGTAAGTTTAATCATTATTATTGCGATTTATACTCAGTGTTGCCTCAGATTCGCAACCTGTGCAATTACGGCAGTTTAAACGATCGTTTAACTACGTAGACGATTTGCATCTGATGTTGGTGAAATTATAGTATAACTATTTTAGAATATCCAATTGCTTTCAAAAATTCAGCCCCTAAAAGTTTTAATTTCAAAAAGTTAGGCCACTTAAGTAAATTAAGTGCATTAATTGAGTGGTTATCACTTTACTGGAATACTCACTATACTTTCAAAGTTACAAAATACTATCAAATAAGAATACAAATGGATACATTTTATGCTAACCCAGAAAAAGCAATACTTAAAGTAGAGTTTTATGAATTGGGGTTATTCATTATTGGTTAAGTATATTAGGTAGCTGACGAGGATTCTTATTTTAAAGGTATATTGTGTTTAATGACCATACCAATTTGCTAATATTTATATTATCCGAGTATTCGATTAAGGTTTAAATTTTTTTTTCTAAAACATTAATAATTATTACAGTTGGGTGTAGAAAATATTGTTCAAAAACATCATCCCATAGTATGTCTTGTATCTTATTGATACTGAATTCTTTGGAAATGGTTTCTTGGTTTCGTTTGGCCAATGACACATCTTTCATCACAGTTATTCCTCCTCGGTTGATCTTATCTTCACATATGTCAGAGAATCTTTGTCTATTAGAAAAAGTAAATATGAAATGATAAGTGTTTGGTATGACTTTAATAACGTGGTTTATGTTTTAAGTCAGGTGGGTTCAACCTTTTTCTAAGTTTGGCATACATTTTAGGTTAATATACATGTATACATATTACACATATATATGCAGGCCATTTATATACTAGTATTGGATATATTCTATAATAACCTTTTTTTTGTTTATTCAAATAATAATAATATTGGATTTGAACAGTAAATATATTTTTAACTATAATATATAAATATCAAAATCGATTTTACAGTTCAGATTATTGTGTTTAATATAGTTTTAATAAAATGACATTGATGACCTTATCCGTTTTCTATGTGTTTCAAGATATATAGGTATAGATACTGAATATTTTTATGACAGTTCACTGTTTAACTTTGAAACTTCTAATACGCATTTTTCGTTTGGGTTGAACACGCCAGTTTTAAGTCGTGTTAAATTTAAAATTATAAATTTTTGATTATCATTCATTTAAATTTATTGACTCCTAATCAATATTCAAGGGAAGCTTCTCAGTTATCTCTGCTATGATATTACATTTTTAGAGCACCTCCATAAATAATATAATTTCAACGAGGGTGGGACAGTGAACATTTTTTTTTCCAAAATATATTTTTGATGTGAGAAAATATTTATTAATCAATTTTGTATTAATTAAACACATTTTTGATTTATAATTTTACATCTATCATATTTGTTGCTACAATTTTTATTTATTATTTGAATTTAAAGTCTGTGAAATAGAAAAAGGAAAATAGTAATAATAATAGTGATGAACTTTAGGTGTGATACTAATACAAGACAAATGATTTTGTATAAGTTCGAGAGTCTTTATTTTTTCCAGTCCAAGCACTGGTGATAACTAATTTATTTATTTATTTATTTATTAAATAAATGCCCGTAGGCTCAAGTACATTACAGTAAGATAAATAACATAATGAATGAATTGATAAAATTGATAAACATGACATAAAGAAAGAACTACAGTTAGTATAATATAAATATAAATAAAAATAATAAATATATATTTAAATTATAATCTAATATTTCATGTAAAGTTTATTTATTTTTGTGGTTTAATGAGTTGTTAATTAAGTGTATTATACATTACTTGAATCGATCTAATAACGTTTCATTTATTAAATGCTTGATAACTATATATCCATTAATTTCAAAAGAATCTCTTTGTTCCGATGATAGGAGCCCATTGTTCGAGGAAAGTGTATACTTGTAATGTTTTTGATTTGCCATCATCCTGCAGGAGAATAAAATAGAATTATTAGTAAATGTGTATATAATAGTAAATAATGTACAAATCATTAGTAAATATTTATCATTAATAATTTCTTTAAGATGAAAATTACTTATTACAAAGTTATTTTTATTATTTATTTTCTTGAGTTTTTAGATTATAATTTATTACTTTTATTTAATAACACATTTAAAAATTAAAATATTAAAAGAGCATTAGGAGTACAGTATTATATGCATATTTCTCAAAAGGTAATTAAATAAATTACCTTTATAATATAATTCAAGTGTTTATTCTTCATATTCTGGTATTGATTTACAATTTTTATTGTAGTAAGTATGTGTAAGATAAAAATAACATATGTAGTTATTATGTTCTAATAAGATAAAATAAATTATTTAGTTATATTTATTTATTTTTTGATCAGCAGATGTTATACAAATACAATTATTACTTATAAAATAATAATATCACATGATTAGCTTCAAAGTAATAAGCTATTTTTAATTTTAAAGTAAGATATTATTTATGTTTTCATAAAATCAAAACCTTTAATTTCATACTTATAACTTTAATAAATATTCATAATATAATAATTATTGTATAATTGTGTAATCATTTATTTGCAAATAGATGATTAAGACATTGATTTTGAAACTCACAACAATTCCTTAAATATAGATATTTTAAATGTCTAAAATTATGTTATGAAATCCTGTTGTAAAATTATAATGTTAATTTGTTAACTACATTTCAATAATACAATAATTTTTCAATGAAAAGTTAAATTTTTTTTTTTTTTGATACTCAATTATAATCAATTTTCTTTTAAATATATTTAAAAGACATATTTATACATAATTTATTATTAAAATTCTCATTAGGAAAATATACATTGCTTGGGTGGGTGTGGAAAAGAAATGCGCCAAATAATCCCGGTGCTAATTAGAGTAAAAGCAAATTGTAAATGAAGAATTAGGAAATTCTAGGAATATGAGGTCGATATTTTTTCTTCTACCAGGAAATTAATCGGTCCAGCCAAGGGAGGGTTCGCATGTGCTTGACTGGAATTAAGCCGGGTACATAATAATTATTAATTTAAAATTAGGTGCAATGTTTTGTAATAACCCGAAAAGACAAAATAAAAAATAAAAGGGAAAACTTATAAAGGGTTGGGTGATATGGTGTATAGTATGTATTTATGTATAATGCATTATGGGTTGATTACCTTCCTCCTTATTTAAGGGTAGGCTTTCGGGTTAAAAAGGTTCGAGAGCCGATCGGGGCAACTGGATAGACTGGCAAGCCAAATAAAAAAGCACTTACTTGTATTGTAATAGTTATTCGATTGTAGAGGAGCTGTGCATTTACAACTATAGGTGAAACTAAGGGTCAGGCCATGGCCTGACTTAATACTAAAATTATGTATATATTATATATTTTAATAATTATTTAGGCATAATAAATAATATATTTATACACGTAAACGTACACATTTGTACATTTCATATAATACTATAATATAATATAGTATATAGATGCAATTGGTAAAAATAAGGTTTATAATTAAACATAATAAGTCTATTCTATATATTCGAATAATCGGTTTTATTAGTTATTGTTTAATTTAGACATTTGACGTTTATTTTTATAATTATATTATAGGAAATAATAGTTAATTTTACGTAATAATACTTTTTATATTTTTCATTTAGCCTGACCTAATAAAAGTGTCTAGTTTCGCCTATGTTTACAACTATCGCAGGAGTGCAATGAGGTTAGAATGAGTCAAACGCAAGAATTGATATGCAGTTGACACTTTTCAACACTCGCACAGAAGACTCAAATCAAACAAATGAATTAAATATAATTATCACCACCGTGTACGAATATTTAACTTTTATAAAAGTTAAATATTCGTACACGGTGGTTACTTGTCGCAGGAGACTTCTTTACTAATCAGACGGTCCGGGCACGCACTGACAACCAAGATCAAGATAGAAAAGAAAGATCAGAGAATCAAAGATTCAATTATTTAAATATTTAATTCAATCAAAGAGTTGAAGGATCAAAGAATCAAAGATCTAGCCAAGATCAAGAGCCTCGAAAAAGGGTATTGTGTCCCTGTTATATAGGGATAAGGCTGAATGCATCTTGAATTGATCGTTTCAAGATTTGACCTACTTATGATGTCATTGGAGTATTGTAGGGTTAGGCCTTTATTATTTGATGTGTGTTGTCCGTACGGGTATTGAAAGAGCCGTCATTTATTATTTTTTTAAATGGTTTAAGATCATATAACATACATTATTATAAAATATTTGTGCAGTATTTTACAATCGAATGATGCACATTATTACAGTTTGTATAACGTCATAAATAATGTAACAATGATAATATAATAATATTTAAACAATAAATAAATAATACAATATAAATTGACCGGCAATGTATATGCAGAATAATTTTATGAGTGTGCTGTAACTATAAGTGAATTAATTTGATAAATAAGAAAATATAAATTGTCACTAATTAGTAATGACTATGTTGTAGAATCTTAGTCTGTTGACTAGACAAAAATTTAGTCGCGTATGTCTGATGATATCATAAAATACTTGTATAAATTGACTGATACAAACTACCAGCGGTAAATAAATACATGGTAACAATATGTTAAGAAATAATGGAGAAACAATAACGTTAAACATAAAGTATATAATTCATAGACACATTCAAATTTATCTAAGATGGCTGTGTAACATCAAACTATCTTTAATTTTTTATAATTTAATTAACGGCGATAATTTTGGAATTGAAGAAGTGCAGAAGAGGTTGCCGTTTTCTAAATTTGTCACACAAAACTCGTTTTCATTACATAACTATGTCAGATAATTATTTATCTCTAAAGATGCTGGCCAGTGAGCGACAGTTAAATATTGAATTGAAGGTCGTTACGCACATAATACTAGCAATTAAATTAAAAGATATTTAGGTACAACTTAAACGGTCAAAATCTTTTTATAAGATATATAATTTAATGAATATTTAAAATTTGGCAAGTATACTATATGCAGCAAATCGTACTTCATTTTAAAGTGTTTTTTAAGTAGGATTTTTTTTGTGATTCCATAAAATATGTATTATCTAGCGTAAAGTGAAATGTGACAATTATACCTATGCTATAAGTTGTTCGTTTTCTTTTTTTATTTATTTTTTTTCCAACTTTGTTTTATTTATACTGTCTGATGATTATTATATAGTTTAAAAACTATTGAATTATTGACAGTAAATATTGACTGCCGTATTATAATATTTGAATATTTAACTATTTTTGTACAATTTACGTAGTTTTCCTAATTATGTTGATTTATCAAATAATTTTCAATTAAATGTTTTTTTTAAATCATTTCTAAAAATCAATCAAATAAAAAAATAATGCGTTATAGATTGCAAACTCTAAGTACTGTAAAAGTTCTTAAAAATAACATGTCAACACAGAGATGTTCATAAAATAAACATGTAGTAAATCAGTTACATTAGGTAATGTATTATTACAAGTTTGTTGGGACAAGTAACATTATGGAACACTAACCATGTTCTCTAATAAACTCCATTCAACCCCAGTTAAAAAAATCCGTGATGGGTTTAGGACCAAACGCATGTTGTACGTGAAATCAAATCTCCAAGTTTAATTTGTAGACTCATAAATTTGCAAAATTAATGAATGAGATCATACAGTATGTATATGTATGTATTATAAAAAATGTACGTGGAATTCGTGGGGTCAACTAACCGTAATATATTATCCTATTCAGACTCAGTGATCTCTTTAAGAGACACTAAATTATTATATTTATTGCAATTGCTGCGATGATGTGTTTTAGTCAATTATATATCGAGCTTATAGAAAAAGTACTGTAGAATCCGAATAAAAAGCGCTAAAAATGATTTAGGATTTGAATTATCAGAAATATATACATTTTCATCCAATATTGTTACGTAGTTATTAATTTATCGAAATGGTATACTCGTATATATAAATTTTCGTTGATCAATAACCGATAATGATAATACCTATTTTTTCTTCTCGTTTGACAACAACTACCGAAATGTTTCGAAACTCTACTTATCCGCTCAAACTTATTTTATGGTATGTTTTGTACGTGTCTCTTAAAGTGGACACTGGGACGCAACGGTTGTATTTCGTAATCGTCACCTCGTCGCTGTCGCAGTGCCGTATTATGATAATTACGCGCCCTCTACGTGTACCTGCTACCTAGTAGTTTTTATACGAATTAGCATTATTATTTATTATGATCTATTAAAATATATCACTCATTCAAATAATATTACCTATATTATAATATTTTATTATTCAATTATTATAGTTACTTAATTATTTATGATTTACTAAACGGCTAGAGGGTTACTCGAATATGATATTTTTTATGTATTGGACGATGGTAACATATCGGAATTGGATTTTTGGACGAAGAAACCGATAAGCATGTTTTTTAAAGTTTAACGAATAACGATTTTCTCAAAACGATATAATTTCACGTTAACATGCTTAAAAATAATATATTTTTGTCAAAAAAGTTCTATTGGTACGTAGGAATGTAATATATTTTGATTTTTATACAACACAAATGAAATGGTTGAATATTTTTTGTAAAATATGAGTGTGATTTATGTTTATTTTTTTTTCATATTCCATGTATTTTGCACTGTACTAAGAATGAATAGTATTTATCATATTCCAATGTTCTCTTTTGTTTTATTTAAAAATCTCCTTAAGCATTTTCAAATGAAATCGTATTGAAATAAAAGCTTAAGCTCCGTGCCAAATTCCATTGACTATTGTTTCCTTTCAGATATATTTAATTTTTCAGCGTCTTCTTGTTGGTCGTAGCGGAAATCTTCAAACAAAGGTGTATATAAGTATTAGTACTAGTCATGAGTCGTCATTGTTGTGGTTAAAAAAACGTACGCTTTAATGCATG